AATAAAGATAAATTTAAACAAACATGTATATAAAACTTAGGTTAGGACTTGAACATATGAAATATTTTTTTCTTCATATGTCAATTTAGTATTATACTTTGGAAACAATTAATATAATTTCAGAATTCAAACTAACCATGACAAATGAAAACAAGATAGAGAGGGAAGAATACTTTCATCATTCCTTCTATGCTCTGCCCCTGAACAATAACCCCTTGTTTGTTCCTTCTATGCTAATAGTGCAGTAAGGTGCTGGAATTCTAAGAGATTCAGGAATAATCAAATTGAGAAGCTCTTATATGGTGGGTAAGCAAACCTGAGTTTTTGCACTTTTCTTATCTACCATACTCAAATTAAATGCATCATTTTTTATATAGTTTAGTGTTCCCAAAGATGTAGAAATGCTGAGAACATAACAAAAGGTAGTCTTTAGTATTCTCAACATTCCTGTGCTCCACTCCTCCTGATTATGAGGCTAAATAGATTTTTTTAAAAAATGAGGTTGTGACAAAATGTTAACTCTAACATATTCAGACATGCCAGAATCTGAAAGCTTAAGGTTTGAGGCCATCAGACTCACTACTGCCTTGTTCTAGGTTTTTGCAACTTCCTGTCTATCTTTTCCCAAATAAATCTTCATGGGCATGTTTCCTATAATGACAATTAAAATTAGATTACTTCCCCCTCAATTTTAATCCAAAATATCACGATGCTACTTCTGCATTTTTTATCATTCGACAGTGGTTCTTCTGTGGCAGATGACACAAATGCCCTGACTCCATCAGAGTAAAATTGGCTATTAACTTGGGGCTTTAGCAAGATACTTAGCAAGGTCTCTCATAATATTCTGTGGTCAAGAAGAAAAATATAGGCTAGATGATTATATAATTAATGTGATTCACAGCTGGCTGAAACAACATATAAAAAAAGGTGTTAATTAATAGACTGATAGAAAGCTAAAGGAGCTCTCCAAATATTCTACAGCACTTTGCCCTTTGCCCAGTGCTACCTTTTACTTATTATCAATAACCTGGATGAATATATATAATAGTTATCAAAATCTGGGTAAGATGCAAATACATTAGATCACAGAAATAGAACCTAAATATTGGAACAGACTAGGGTAATGGGCCAAAACTAATAAGATAAAGTTTAAGTAAGACAAATATAAAGTTCTGCACTTTAGTCCAAAATGTTCTGCCCTGCTCATAAATGGGATACACAAAATTTTGTTAACCAGCAGCATATGGATGTAGCTGTTAAAAGAAGTCCATTAAATGTTAGGCAGCATTGTAAGAATAGAGATTCTTTGGGTTGTAGAAGGAGAATTGGTTCTAGCATTAGAAAACTAGGTGAAATCCTAATTCTGCTCCTTTGGTCTCTTAAACTCTCTAAGCCTCACTTTTGTTGTGAACTTAAAATGTGTTAATATGTCTAAGTTCCAAGCACTTGTGTGCAATAAATATGACCTAGAAAAGTTATAATTTACAATAAAATTGGTGGCTGTGCCACTCCATTTTGTGTTTGGAATGAATTGCAAGGAACTGGAGCTACTTCCAAAGACAGTGACTAGGATGGATGAGCACCTCCAAGAGGACCGGAAGGACTGTTGCAGGAACTGGATTCGAAAGGACATGGTATCTACCTTCAAATATCTGATGGTGAACTGCATGGCCTCCTGGAGGGCTCCAGGAGGGAGAACTAATAATGAAGAAAGGGAATTACAAGAATGTGGGCCAGGGTGAGCACTTGGGGATGTTGTGAGTGATTTCAGCACAACTAGGTGGTTTAGACTACATGACCTTCAACACAACAGTCTGATGTCATATTTCTAGGTCACTTTGCATGAAGTGGTTCCTGCCTCAAAATGATCCAGAAGCTCCACTATCTTGGGTTGGGCTGGTTTCTAGCCTTGCAATTATATTGCCTTTCCTCCAGCTCTAGGACAAACCTCTTATTTCTTCAATCTGCCTTCTTTGACCAGTTTACTCTTGCTCTCTACTGTATTAATTTCTGGACGTTTACAATGCCACCTTTCCCAGAACTGGATTATACAAAGGATACAGTATAAGGAATAATTTCTGGATACTTTTTTTGGGAGATAGCTAGCAAAGCATGATTTCCTGGTTGCTGAAGTAAGAAGGTAAAACGAGAATTAAGAACCGGAATTTAAGAGCTCCAGAGTTGGAGCTATGGACGAATAAGTAGAGAGGACACCAACCTGACAAGTCTTTTACTGAAAAGGAAGTGGAGACCCATTCTGGAGTGTGTTGGCCTCAAGTACTCAAAAGTTGTTTGCTCAACGCTGGACTTCCTCTGTTTTCCCAAGGCCAAGGAAGGCTGGGAAGGTTGATCAGCACCTCCAGCCTGTTCCATATGGTCATTGTGAAACTGCCTAGTACAACCAGAGAGACTGCTCCCCACCTCTGACCTGGTCAGGGCATGCCCACTTGCTTCCTACCAGTGACTCCAGAGACCCATTTCTTTTTCTTTCTCTTTTCTTTCTTTCTTTCTTTCTTTTTTTTCTTTTCTTTTTTTTTTTTGCCACTGGTAGGGGAAAATTGGCTGAGCTCGGGTTGTCAGTGACGCGGCGGAGAGTCTGGCGGAGTGGCTAGGGTGAAAGAGGACGCTTGGGGGAGGGAGACCAGGCTCCTGACTGGCTGGGGAGCGAAGGCTTATTTGCATAACGCTGTAAAACAGCATCTGATTGGCTAAAGCCAGAGGGGCGGTGGTGGGGTGATTCCAAAGGCCCCGCAGTTCTGGTCCAGGACATTTCCATTCCGGAGTTACCCCTGTGGCCTTAAGTTGTTGTGCCGCCCCGGGGGAGCTGAGGACGCCCGGTTTGGGAAGTTCTGTAGGCAGGTGCAAGAGCCATCTTTCCCTTAAGAAATGTGAAAGAACAAGGGTAGGAGTTAAGAAACTGGGGGATGGAGAGTGACCTGGAAACCAGAGAAAGAAAAGAAACAGATTAGGAAAGAGGAGGAGGCCAAAAAGAAGGCAATGGGGGCTTTCTCCCCAGCTGCCCCCCCCCACATCCCTTTTCTAGATCACTTTAATTTCCATTTTCTGTGAGTTATTGTCACACTTTGCTGTGACTGAGAAGAAAAAAAGGCAGGATTCTGGCATTTCATTACTCAAATCTGAATACCAAGTTTTCATCCAGAGGCATAGGTACTTAAATATCAACAGGGTTTGTCACTGGGGACAGAATATGTTTTAATTAATGAGAGGCTCAGCTAGTGGAAACTGGATATGTGTTTTTCTCTTGCAATGTTCTGTGTCTCATTGGAAATAAGGATTTAAAATCAACCTGGACTATTTTGTACCCTCTTGCTGCCTTAGCACTGGTTGGGGGGGGGGGGAGCGTCTGTTGCTCACACTCATCATAGACTTTTCCTATATTTTAAGGGCTTCTGATTCTTCCCATAAACACCTGGTGGCTATGGTGAGGTCCCATATATAGCAAGTACAAATAATCATTGTAAAGTGCATTGCAATTTACATATTTTTAAATCCATTATCTTCAACCAAAATTTGGCACATCCCATGGGAGAAGCTACCTAAGGCTGAAAAGGTTTCTAAGTCTCCATATTCGCAAAGAGGGAGGGTGAGATTATTTTAATGCTTCCAATTTATATAGTGCTTTTGGCTCTACATTTTTCTTTTCATTGATCCAAAGATCCTGATAGGTAGGTTGAGCAGGTAATATTATCCCAATTTTATAGGTAAGAAAACATGGGCTATAATCTGTGCTCATAGGCCCTGGGAGGGAGCAGTCCCCAGACTGGGCTCTCTGTCCAGGGATCACTGACTTGTGTCCCATTGAGTCTTTGCTGCACCAAGTCAGATTTTCATTCACAAGACAATTAGGAAGATTGTTTGCCATGGAAAAAACTTAAATATAGATTATAAAGTAAAATACTGTACTAAAAGTACTCCTGGAAGGTTTTAGAGAAAAATGATTTACAGTTAGAAACTTGAGTCTGCTTGAATTATTTGTTGGACTGTAGGAGAAGACTGGTAGATGAAGGATGTGACTAGGGAAGTGAGATTATAAAAACAAAAATGAAAACAGGCTGTGGTTTAGAATCTCAAAGTGAAAATTTTAGGTGTGAGGCTCTTAAAAGTTAAATCCAGTGATATGGTACATAGCTTATTAAGGCCCTATTAAATGGCCTTGCATTTTAACAAGTATCTTTGGAAAGGAACACTTCAAACCCCTCTCCCCCTCAAAATATTATTGGACATCTTACTACTTTTCTGTTAAATGATGAAAAATGCAACACCAGGCCTAACTACTGTCACCCTCTCCTGGCTCTTTGCATTGGGTCTGTCCAGCATCACCGTGTAGTGGGACTTGGACAACAGCCAGAAATTTAGTTACTTCTTCTAATTGCCATGTTTGATCTTTTGGAGAAAATTGTGCAGATCAGATGGTGGGTCAATCTTTATTCCTGGCAGCAACTATTACAAGAAATACTGAGAGACCTCACTAAGAGTCTCCCCTCCCCCAGCAACTGTCCAAGGCCAGAGCCACAGTGGAAGCACTAAGAGTCCACGTGCACCCCGATGTGCCCAGCCACCCTTCTTCCTTCTTACGTAAGAGTCCCGGGATAGAGTTGCGGCTGCTGCGGGTCCCTATTTCCCAACAGCTAATAATAAACCGGGACAGTAGTTTCCCGGTCGAAGCCACTGCTGGTGAGTGGTGTAGAGGCTCACTTTGCAACCAGAGCGCGTGCACTTTGATCACCCTATCCCAGGAGCACCGGCAAGGCCCACCCAACCCTGGCACTCCCGCCCGCCCTCTTGCCAGTCCGGACGCTGGCGTTTTCTTTACCCGCGCAGTGCCCCGCCCTCCCCCAACTGGCCTGCTTTGCTCTCGCTGGTGGGGTGCGGCTGTTCCAGCCCATCCCCGGCGCTTCGCCCTCCCTCCACCCGGGCATCAGGCGAGAGGCGGAGCTGGCCCGTCGCGCCCCGCCCTCGCTGTGGAAAGGGCCCGGGAGTGTTACTCCCGGTCATCCTCGCTCGGGACTTTTATCTCGGCGCTGCCGGGAGGCGGGAGGAGGAGACACCGGGGGTGGCCCTGATCGCTGGCGACACCTTTCTGGGGCTCTATAAATTGAGCACCTGGGATGGGTAGGGGGCTGACGCCACCACCACCAACCCATTCACAGTCCAGTCACTGACCGCAGCAGCGGCCACCAGCTGTGAGAAGGCTGATCTACTTAGCGACTCGGACTCTCCAGGCCAGGACGAGGTGGGTGCCGCCGCCCCATCTCTGCTCCAGTCAACGTGTGTACTTGGACTCCGCTTGACGGAGGAAGACTAGGGGTGGGGAGCGACCCTTCCTCCTCTCCCGGTCCCTGGGCTGGGGGGAGGTGGGGTGGCCAGGCTGCACCTGGGTGAAGTCCCAGGGGAGCAGTCATCGCGGAGGGAGGTGCGTGCGGGCGGGGACGCCGGGCTCCCCAGCGGAGTGAATAATCTGCTCTTCGTCCCCCCGTCTCTCAGCCAGGTCAGGGCTCGCCCCACGGACCACGCACCGCCATCGCGAGCTACTGGACGCCAAAGCCAGGAGAAGCCGCGCGTCCCGCAGGGCCGGGCTGTGAGAGGGCGGAGGAGCCGGGAACCCCGCCGCTCCGCGCTCTGGCTGCAGCCAGGACCCGGGCGCGGGTTTCCGAGAGCCCCGGAAGGCGGGCACCCCCTCGCCTCAGCCGGCCATCCCGTGCTCCTGCCCTTCAGCGTCCGCGCAGTCACCATGATGCAAATCTGCGACACCTACAACCAGAAGCACTCGCTCTTCAACGCCATGAACCGCTTCATCGGCGCCGTGAACAACATGGACCAGACGGTGATGGTGCCGAGCCTGCTGCGCGACGTGCCCCTGGCCGAGCCCGGGCTGGATAACGATGTCGGCGTGGAGGTAGGCGGCGGCGGCGGCTGTCTGGAGGAGCGCACGGCTCCGGCCGCTGGCGCGGGCAGCGCCAACGGCGGCTTTTTCGCGCCCTCCCGGGACATGTACAGCCACTACATGCTGCTCAAGTCCATCCGCAATGATATCGAGTGGGGGGTCCTGCACCAGCCGCCACAGCCGGCGGGGAGCGAGGAGGGCGGCACCTGGAAGTCCAAGGACATCCTGGTGGATCTGAGCCACTTGGAGGGCGCGGACACCGCCGAGGAGGACCTGGAACAGCAGTTTCACTACCACCTGCGAGGGCTGCACACTGTGCTCTCCAAACTCACGCGCAAAGCCAACATCCTCACCAACAGATACAAGCAGGAGATTGGCTTCAGCAATTGGGGCCACTGAGGAGGGTCGCCCACCGCTGACCAGCACCCTTCCCGGCCCCATCTCTTACCCTCTCTTTTCTCAAAGCTGTTTTCTTTTTGGCTCTAGGGCGTGATGGGCCAACGGCAAATTTGGGGGTCTGAGTACGTGAAAGGTGTGCAGCAGGGTTGCAAGGAGGAGGGGGCCTCTTTTGGGAGAAGGGAAAAGAGAGAAGAGAGAGAAGGGAAGGGAAGGGAAGGGAAGGGAAGGGAAGGGAAGGGAAGGGAAGGGAAGGGAAGGGAAGGGGGAGAAGAGAAAGAAGAAAGGAGAGAAGAGAAGAGAAGAGAAGAGAAGAGAAGAGAAGAGAAGAGAAGAGAAGAGAAGAGAAGAGAAGAGAAGAGAAGAGAAGAGAAGAGAAGAGAAGAGAAAGTGGTGGCGGCGGAGAGGGCGGTTGCTCAGGACCTCCTTGCCTCCCTTGGGACGGTGGGGGGAGGAGAGGTCTGTGTTCTACCTTGGTGGGAATGCAACTGGGCTGACGCCCTGCATTCAGCCTGTGCCTTTCTGGAATTTCTTTACTGTTCTTTCCGGTGGAAGAGGGCCGAGAAGGGGCCATGCCAGGGCGCGGCACTGGGTTGCCACACTTGGGAGCGCCGCCCAGAAGAGCTGGGCGCTGAGGAAGGCGGGGCAAGCAGCAGCCTCCCGCCTCCCCGCGCTTGGGCTGTTGGAGGCCGCAGCGTTGCTAGGATTGCATCAGTTTTCCTGTTTGCACTATTTCTTTTTGTAACCGTGGCCCTTCCTTAAGTATTTCGAACCTCCTCCTTGCTCTGAAACTTCGGCGATTCCATTCTGATGAGCGCACAAACAGCACTGTCTGTGGGTAATCGGTACTACTTTGTTATTAATTATTTTCTGTTCCACAGTATAGTTGTCCTGTGGCACTCTACCCATGCCTTTCTGGCCACCTGTCCCCATCTCAATGAGTGTAAGTTGGCACTGTGCCAGCTTGTATGAAGCTTGCCATTCAGCCAGTGGAAATAATATTATTATGAGAAAGTGGACTTGTCTGAAATGGAACCAACTGATGTTCTATCAGTGTTGTATATAGAATGATGAAGAGTTCCACTGTTGTTATATGTCTTAAATTTATTTAAAACTTTTTTAATCGAGATGTAGACTATATTCTAAAAATAAAAAGCCAAATGTGTTAATGAAACTCCACAAAAGTTTGTTGCTCTTTAATCCCTCAATGAATGACTTAGTAGTTAAATAAAAATAAATTATTTTTTAGCAAATTTTATTTTCCTTCTGATATTTCAAGATAATGGATAATCATCTCTGTAAGTATTCAGATTTGTGTGGGAAGCAGCTCTGGACAAAATTTACTTCCAAACTTTTTTATTTCTAATTCACTACCAATGTAGGCCCATGCACCTCAACAAAAAGTTCACAAGTATTCAAAGTATTTAGAAAGGTTCATATATGGTACTTTCTAACAAAGTTGACCAGCTTATTGGAGTACTTAATTAACCTTCTGATATTTTTAAGAACCTCAAGCACAAACAAGTGTTTTGAGGCATAAAAACTTACCTTCAGGTGGAAATCTCTCTTGACTACTAAGTAGTGAATAATTAGAAAAGAAACACCAATGTTACAAATGTTTTATGTTGGTCTTAAGAGTTACTTAAATGTGTGATAACACGTGCTCTGGTCTCTCAGTAGTTTCCAGGGAAGTGCTAAGGTTTGTTAGGCAGTGTCCGCAATGCTTCCAGTTTTTCAGGGAGCGGTATGCAATCATGGATAGCTGATCTGGTCAAGGCTGCAGTAGGGCTCTTGGGAAGGGAACACTTAGATGCCATTGTGATGCTTTCCCCGGATGGTGGGATGGGTGAAATACATTGCTCTGTATTTTCTTTATTTCATTATTTGTTTAGGGGAAATATGCGTTAGATCAACTTCAGTTTTCAAACTAGCAATCATGAGACATCTCTAAGCTTATAGAGCTTGAAATTAATATCCATATAATGTTGCAGTTTTTTTTTAAAGCAAATGTTTGTCTGGTATGGGCAATTCAAGTGTATTACCAGCTTTTCGCAGCAGTGAAAAAATAGGAAAGTGTCAAGACAAGGTTCTTGCTGTTGCCAGAGAAAATCAATTGTTAAATATAAAGATAAGCTGGGCAGCACCAAAAGTAATATATAGAGCTTATTGCTTTGTATTCCTTTTAAAACATCAAAGTGCAAGCCAAAAACAAAAAATACAAAGAAAGGAAATTACAGAAGCCACCAAGAAAGGAACATGAAGACTTTGGAACTAGAAAGTGTGTGCTCAGATCCTCTTGTTCCTATTTCATAATTACAAGTATTTTAGCATCCAAGCTTGTTGCTGCATTTGAAATTAGGTAGAACAATAATTATAATGCTTACTTCATGGAATTACAGTGAGAATTAAATTAGATGATATATAGTCTGTCACAGATTTATGGAATTCAAAGTTTCTTTGAGAACTACTCAAAGGTTTTACACGTTTCTTTCTTCCTCTATCTTAATGTTGGCTCATGTCTCCATTGGCCCCCTTGACTTCTCCAGGGATATATGAAGCATGGTACAATATGTCCATTTTAGGGAAAAGTAAATTTCAATTACAGACATGAAACAACAGGTAAACTATTTCTTTTCTCAAAGTATCAACGGAGAGCCTGAATTAAAACAAAAAGTCAAAGTTTGGGCAACAGAAGAATTTTTTTTTAATTTCTTTATTGGTTAAGGTATTACAAATGTGTCCTCTTCCCCCCCATTAACCCCCAACCTCCCCCCCACACACTCATGCTCTCATCCCCCTGATGTCCATGTCCGTTGGTTTGGCTTATATGCATGCATACAAGTCCTTTGGTTGATCTCTTCCCCTTACCCCCACCCTCCCCTACTTTTCCTCTGGGGATTGGGGATTGATAGTCTGATTGCTGTTTCTCTGTCTCTGGGTCTGTCCCTGTTCATCAGTATATGTAGTTCTCTATATTCCACAAATGAGTGAGATCATGTGGTATTTATCTTTCTCTGACTGGCTTATTTCACTTAGCATAATGCTCTCCAGTTCCATCCAAGCTGGGCAAAAGAAGAATTTTATGAGATGCTAACTGCAAGCTGTTTTCAGAATATTCCTGTGGTATATAGAATACAGTAAAGTACATGTTGATAGCAAAACTAAACTATAAATAGTTATCAATGTTAACTTTATTGCTGAAAAAGTCACACTATGTAAGAGTATTTTTATATATAAATACTGATTTTATTCTAACCTAGAAGTAATGATGATCACTGTTTAAAAGGACTGGATTTTTTTATGAACCAATGAGGTTTTCCTGGCCCAATAAGCTATTCCACTGATAGTGAAACAAAACTGGAAAAATCCCCAACAGATTCACCTGTTAGAATCTTTCAAGCAATTTAAAATTTTGCTTGACATCTGAGGTAAAGTGATAAGGGACTTTATATTTTCAGAAGGTCTTTTCTGGGGGAGATCAAAGTACCTTATAGATTAAAAAGGTACAAACAGGAACAAAATAGGTCCAGAGGCATGGATGCCTGGAACAGACCCACAGATCTCAGAGGGGAGTGGTGTGGGGGGCAGGAAGAGATTAACCAAAGAATTTATATGCATATATGCATAGCCCAGGGATGCAGATGATAAGTGTGGGGAAGGCCTGGGGTTGGGCGGGGCTGGGTGGAGGGAAGGAAGTTGGGGGGGAGGGAGGATGGGGGACATCTGTAATACTGTCAGAAATAAAAATAAACTTAAAAAAAGTTACAAACATTGTGCGGCACCTCCCTAAAGAGCTATCAGAGATCCCCCTCATCTGACAGTGCGCATCCCAGAGGCAGTTTGTGACTAAAGAGAAGGCACAGATAGATGAACTAGGCAAAAATTAACAGCTTAGCATGCATATGATTACCACAGAGATATTTACATTTGATAAGAATTTCCTACATAAAAATCTCACACCAAAGCCTCTGAGAAGGTCTGTTTTGGCCCCTAAAATAGCTTTCTGCTTCTGCTTTGCTCACATTGGCTTTTTCATGTTTTACATTCATAGTGGTCTGGTCTAATTTACTCTTTCTCTGAACCTGAACCTAATTGTTAAAGAGCACCTCATGGCAGCTGGGATTCTTCTTCTTTGGATCAACTTGAAAACTACTCTAGTTAGTTTTTTAAACATTTTTCTTTTAAAAAATGACAGTTATTGTCAGTTCATATGCTTCATCATTTCCCCTTACTTTTAGTTGCTAAACAAAATCATTTTGGAAAGAGTGTCTCCCCTTCTCTCCCCACCCCTTGCCCCTTACCCTACCCGCTTCCCTTTCTTCTGTGGTTTTCAGATGTTTGCAAATTGGATACAGCTCTGGTGGAGGGATGGCTCCAATCTTATATCATACACCCTTTTTTAAAAATTATGTTTTAAGGGGACACCTAGTACATTTATAACATTACAACCTTGTGTACTTTATTTTTAAGAGTTTTGTAGTAAATAATGACAAAAGCAAAGTTTTCTTTAAAATTGTGGAGGCGATTTTTAACCCCAATAAAAATGTTACCCCAAATAAAAAAAAATCTGAATCAGGAGCTTATGAAAACTTTAATCATGTAGTCTATTGGATGGGTCTCTTAAAATGATTAGTCTTTTTAAAATTTCAAACTTTATGTAGTTTCTGATCAGACTAAATTGTTTTAATTAGCAACATAATTTAAACGTAAAATTAAAATTATTAATTTTTTTCTTTTAAGTCGTGTCCAATTTTTTAATAATTCAGGGAAATTTAAACGTTGTTCTTGAGTTACTCTTGTAAAGCTTTGTAACTCCCCATAGTTCAAGGAATCTTTGTAGCCAAGGGAAGGCCCAGAACTTGAGCCCCTACTTGTAGAGCACACTTGGGTACCTGGGTCCTCAGAGTTCCCTATCTAAATGGCCTTGAGCCTGTTCCAGGGACTTCATAGGCATTTGTCCTGAGATTATCCTCCTGGTGGTGGACATGCTTGGATGGTGGACAGGGCTTGGACAAGCAAACTGAGCTGTCCAAGGATGGAGATTGGGTAGAGAGATAAAGGGCCATAAGGGGGCAGAGTGTAGGCTGGAGGAATCCCTGGGTTTTAGAATGAACAAAGGGTTTGAAAGCCCATAGAAAGGAAATGACAGGTGAAAGCAGCTCAATCTTTATTTTAAGGTCTTGTTCAGTATTGGCAAATGAGGATTTCATGGGTTTTTCCCCTATTTCCCACAGTCTTCAGGAGTCTCTGTGCTCCACTGAAAGTATGCCAGTTAATTAATAAAGTCTTGGCTAAAGAATAGGAAAACCACATCTGTACACAGAGCTTTTCCAGCTGTTTGCTATTCAGTGAGTGCTTCAGTGGTGGTGATGATAATGAAGACTCAAGGAATACATCTTCCATAAAACCATGAAGATTTTACCTCCTCAAATTTTCTTTCATTTTCTTTTTTTAAATTATTGTTGGCTGTTTTCTTTTTAGCATCAAAATTCAAGCTGATATAATAATAATAGTTGTTCATCTGTTTAAACAAGGCCTCCTAAAACCACAACTATCTCATCAACCCTTCCTGTTTGGGCATTCTCTATTTTTAAGAGAAGCATTTTTTTTCATAACTTTCTATTCTTGTTCTCATATTTTATTAGTTCTTTGTTTGTTGTTTCAGAACACTTTGTTGAGCAGTTTTGAAAATTTACCTGTTGGTGTACCCAACTTCAATAATCTCAAACTGGTAAGAATTTTAATTGTATTCAACAATAAAGATTTAAAAATAAAATGTTTACCATTAATGAATATTCCTCCTATTGCAATAGTTTGATTAATATTATATCTTTTTAAAAAATATATTTTATTGATTTTTTTACAGAGAGGAAGGGAGAGGGATATAGAGTTAGAAACATCGATGTGAGAGAAACATCGATCAGCTGCCTCCTGCACACCCGCTACTGGGGATGTGCCCACAACCAAGGTACATGCCCTTGACCGGAATCGAACCCGGGACCCTTCAGTCTGCAGGCCAACGCTCTATCCACTGAGCCAATCCGGGTAAGGCTAATATTATATCTTTAAAAAATAGTTTGTCACCGTCACAAATTTTTGATTGGAGAAAGTCCTTATAATTTAATTGAGAACATGATAATAGAAGGTAATCTTTTGCCTTGAACTGTCTATATAAAGTGCCTTCTAACACAGATATGAAGACTGAGAAAATACTAGGGAAACATAGATCCCAGATCTTTATTTTAGCAAGCTAAGTAAAGAATGTTGAGGGGTAGGGTATTTTTTAGAATCTATTTTACTCTTCAGTACCAATCTTATTAAGTGTTGATATATGCACTTTTATCAATCAGCATTCAGTTAACAGGATGAAACTGGATATGATTCATTTGATGTTTTCAAAGGTAGAAACCAACTTTGTAGTTTTTTTTTTCCTTTTGAATACCACACTGCTGAGGTAAAGAACGTTGTAGCTTGTGGGTGAGCTCAATAGGGCCAATTAAAACCTGACTATTCTTCCACCATGTTGTAATACCTGACAGAACTTGCTGTGTCCTTGGATGATGGCATTTTTTTCTTCTTAGCAGACATCTAATTGAGGAGAATTCCTGTTTGGTAGACAAGGAAATATGAAAATGAAAGTACTACATTGTTGGTTCTGACCAAAGTCTTTAACATTTTCCAGTTGATTACAATGTGACATTAATTTTAAGCCCTGTTTTAAAAAACAACAACAAATAAACAAAACAAAACATACACATTATGAAAGAACACCCATATGATCTGTAGTAGCGAAACTATGTGTAGAATGCAAGGAGTGTAGTTAGTGTACTTTAGTCATTCAAAACAAGGTGTAGTATTTTGTGGCATGTAATTGACATTGCAGCTTGTAACTCATGGATGCTTTGGGGGTATAATTTCGTTTCTGCTGTGATATGTAATTGTTGATAATTTCTTCATAGCTTAAATGCTTGGAGGAGGAAGTTCCAGAAATTTAGATGTTTAACTCAGGTGTTGAGGGCTAAGTAGAATCTCAGAAAACAGTAGCCCCTCCCCTCCAGTTGGTTTGTGAGCAGCCAGAATGGGCCCATGTGGGAAAAGGGAGGTACTGAGAGAAGCCTGCGTAATTTAGTCTTTCCAAATTTACAAAATGTCACTCCACTGTCCCTGGTTCTTCATGATAAGGGGAGTGGTGGAGAAAGGCAAAGTATGTTTTGGGACACACCCAGGAGTGGGGAGGTAATCATTCGCTTCTGATAGCAGGTTGTGAGGCCTTTTTCTTTGACTAGAAAGACAGCAAATATTAAGTTGAAGCATGATATTGCCATTTTTGTCAGTCCAAGATGGTTGAATAATTCCTGATTCCAGCAATTAGATGTTCCTCTGTGGGCATACTATAGTCTTTTTCCATCACCTTATGAAAGTATTATTTGCCAACTCACGGTAAACCTGATTTTGAGGTAGAAGGTGTATGGGACAAAGAAAGATGACAGGGGCAATTATATAAGAGTAGAAGAAAGAGGTGACTTAAAATGAAAAGGAGAAATTGAAAATTTACAGAGAAGCTTTGGCAAACATTGCCACCTTTCATCAAGAAGTGGAATCTTTGTCTCTTAAGATGCTTGTCCTTGGAACACAGATGCATTGCTGTGAGGAAGGAAGTCCAGCAGCCAGCCTCAACTCCAAACATGTAAGGGAACTTTTAAGCCACTACAGCTGACACGAAGTGAAACAGAGACAAGCTGTTCTCATCAAGCCCTGCCCAAATTTCAGGTTTGTGTGCAAAATTTTTTATTCTTGTAAGCCACTGAGTGGTTTGTTACATAGTAATGGATAATTAAAAGAGACCTTTCCCCATATTTCAGGAGATTGAAGAAATAAATGAAAACAATTGAAAGTAGAATGTAATCTATGGGACTGGATCTATTTAACATATTTACCTGAGTAACAAATAGCTTATAATAGGCCTGAAACCTTTGGAAACATTCATGTGATGGCTGGTGTAGAGAAGAGAAGAGTTAGAAGTGATGGATGATTAGACAGATTCTATAAGTAACATTTGACTGTTATGTTAAAGCTCAGCATCTAGGCAGAATAATGACCCTCCAAAGACGTCTGTCTTAATCCATGGAATCTGTGGATATATCACCTTACAAGGCAAAGGGTAATTAAGGCTGCAGCTGTAATTAATGTTGCTAATCACCTGACCTTTAGATGGAAAAATTATCCAGATTATCCGGATAGGCCCAATATAATCACAAGGGTCTTTAAAAATGGAAGTAGGAGGCAGAAGAATCAGAGTGATGCAGGATGAGGAAGACTCAGTTTGCCTTTACTGGCTTTGAAGATGAAGATGAAGATGAAGGTGGCAGTGAACAACAACAACAAAAACATAGGCAGCCTTTAGAACAGTGGTTCTCAACCTTGGCTGCACATTAGAATCACCTGGGAATCTTTTTAAAATCCTGATTTCTGGGCCTCATCCTCCGGAAATTCTGTTTCTTTGTGACTCATGTTGTGGCCCCACCCCATCACAAAGACACAGAATTTCCGGAGGATGAGGCCCAGAAATCAGGATTTTAAAAAGATTCCCAGGTGATTCTAATGTGCAGCCAAGGTTGAGAACCACTGCTCTAAAGGCTGGAAAAAGCAAGGAAACATTATCCCTGGAGTCTCCAGAAGGTATGCAGCTCTGCCAACATCTTGATTTTAGCCCAGTGAGACATATTTTAGACTTTTGACTTCCAAAACTGTAAGATAATAATTTTACATTGTTTTAAGTCACCAAGTTTGTGGGAATTTGTTAAAGAAACAATAGGAAACTAAACTACTTGGCCTCTCACATGTAGCACTTAATCAGTTCATTGTCTTTGGACTGGCTAAAATACAGAATTTTAAGCACAACAACTTGTTGAAAACAGTTCTAAAAGTTTTTTCAAAAAAATCTTCTTTTGTGAAAGAGACTTATTTTTCTTTTAAGTTCCAGTCTCGGTGACAGTAGCCCTACACAAACAGACACTATGCATACAAGTCCTTTGGTTGGTCTCTTATCCCCTCCCCCCCCTTGCCTTCCCTCATAGGTTGTATAGTCTATTCCATGCTTTTATGTCTCTGGTTCTATTTTTTTTCATCAGTTTATGTTGTTTATTATAGTCCACAAATGAGTGAGATCATGTGATATTTGTCTTTCTCTGACTGGCTTATTTCGCTTAGCACCGCGGCTCTCGAGCCACATGCGACAATTTGGCCCCTTCAGTGTGGCTCTTCCACAAAATACCACGTGCAGGTGCACACGTACAGTACGATTGAAACTTCGTGGCCCATGCGTAGAAGTCGGTATTTTGTGGAAGATCCAGTAGCATAAATATGAACAAAACCAATGGATACAGACAGTAGGGGGGGGGGTGAGGGCTTGTGCTTGGGGGAGGGGGTGGCAGGAAAGAGGTCAGTGGGGGGGAAAAAGGAGACTCATGTAATACTTTAAACAATAAAGAATAAAAAAAAAACAGATACTATGGTGCTGCCATTATATTACTAAAAGAGTTTGCTTCAAGTATAGCAGCACTATTTATGCCCTTTGTGGCTAAGAACTTAGACCCATTCTGTCTTTATTTTCATTTTTAATTCTTCTTTCCCTTTTAAAAATATTTTGTGATATTTATGTACAACATCTATTTCTGCAACCCTCATCTTATTATTTTCTTTGTATTAAGATATAGTTACATGCAATAAAATGTACATATTTTACATATATAGTTAAGTTTAAAACATTTTTTTCTTTATTGATTTAGGAAAGGAAAGAGAGAGAGAGAGAGAGAGAGAGAGAGAGAGAGAGAGAGAGAGAGAAAGAGAGAAAGACGTCAATGTGAGAGAAACATTGATTGGTTGTCTCCTGAGTGCCCCGACCTGGGATTGAACCCACAACCTGGGTATGTGCTCTGACTGAGAATCGAACCTGCCACCTTTTGGTGTATGGGATAGCACTCGAACCAACTGAGCCACACCATCCAGGGCTAGTTAAGTTTTGATAAATACATCCATCCATGTAATTAACACCTCAGTAAAGGTTCTTTGATTTCATATAAATTGAATCATACAGTATGCACTCTTTTTGTTGTTGTTAATCCTCACTTGAGGATATTTTTCCATTGATTTTTAGAGAGAGTGGGAGGGAGAGAGAGACAGAAACATCAATGTGAGAGAAACACATCGATTGGTTGCCTTTGCACACGCCCCAAGCAGGGCTGGGATCGAATCTGCAACTGAGGTATGTGTCCTTGACTGGAATCGAACCTGGGACCCTTCAGTCCACAGGCTGACACTCTATCCACTGAGCCAAAGCAGCTAGGGCCAGTATGTACTCTTTTGGATCTTCTTTCACTCAACAGAATATTTCTGAGATTCACCCATGCTTTTGCATGTCTGTTCATTCCTTTTTATTGCTGAGTAGTATTCCATTTTCTAAATTGCCACAATTCGTTTATTTACTTTCCTGTTGATGGACATTAATCCAGTTGTTCCCATTTTAAAATTTATTTCTTGTAGTTATTATGACTGAAGTTATAAATAATATTCTATTTCAAGCCTTTTTTGAAAAATGCATAGGAGTGGAATTGTTATTTATAAGAAAGGTATATATTTAACTTTATAAGAAACTGCCAAAGAGTTTTTCACAGTGATTATATAATTTAACCTCTTACTGACAATGTATGAAAGATCCAGTTGTGTAGCCCATTTTGATTAGTGATGCCTTCAATACTGGTATCTAGTACTGGCAGTTTCTTATAAAGTTAAATATAAACCATTGATGGGATGCTGCATAAAAGCATTTTTCAATGGAGAGAAGCATATTAGATGCTGTCTTGGTGAGCATGAGGTTGATAATAAGAAAGGTGGTTATAGCGAAGTGAGGTAGAAGGAAAGTTAGCACTCAGTAGTGAAAGAAAACCTGAATTTAGAGTCAGTGAATCTGGACTTTAGCCCCAAGTCTGCCAGTGTGTTCTGTTTCCTGGGGAGTTTAATTAGCTTCTTGGATTCTTGTGTTTGTATTTTGCAAAATGGGGATATTACCTCATAGGTTTAATAGTAATAGCAATGAACTACCTCTAGGTGTATACTTATTTTGTATAATTCCTTCAAAGGAAGAAGAAAGTCTTTATTATTAGGACTGGTGAAAACCTCATGCATTATCTCATTTTTCCTCACATGGATATTCTTTTTTTTTTTTATGTTTACTTTCCATTTTCCTGCAGAAAAATCTGTCATCTCAATAGTGTGTAGTTTAAATAGCAAAGGACTAACTTGCCAGCTAAATACGGATAAATGTTTAATTATGAAAACTACACAATACATTCTTGACTCAAAAATACTCACATGGATATTCTGAAGCCGGTATTAATGTGCTTCTCATTTTATAGATGAGTAAATTGTGTCAAAAAGACTGCTTGTTATTTCTCAACCTGTTCTCCCCATATTTCTTCAGTTTTTAGGTGGGAACTTGGTCACCCCAAATAAAAGCTACACTTCTTAACTTCCCTTGCAGCCAGGAATGACCATGTGACAGTTTTAACCAAATGACCAGAAGGCATAAGAGTCATATATGACTTCTAGGAGGTATCTTTAAAGAATGAGAGAGTAACTTTGTTCCTTTCCCCTTCTTGTTGGACTGAATTATATGGTTTGGCTGGTGCTTCAGCAGCCATATTGGATAATGAGGTGACAGCAATGTGTTGAGAACAACAAAGCAACAACAGAGAAGGAACCTGGGCTTCTGATTGCAATGGATGCCTTATCTCTGGATGTTTGTTTGTTTTTTTAAACAGAAATAAACTGCTATCTTGTTTAAGCCACTACTGCTATTTCTATTGCTCTTGGCCAAATCTAATTCTAATACTGAAATGTGGATTTAAAGAAGTTGTTATAAGGAAAACTGAGTCTTCAAGATATTACAAAGATTAAATTATAACATGTAAAATCTTGGAGTGTTTGTGAGTTGTTAATTAAATATGAGGGCCAGGGAAAGAAGTAAAAGGAAACCCTTGAGGAAGGAGCTCATTTTCTTTCACCTGACTTGTTATTTTAGGCTTTATAAGACAATGCAACCAAATGCTGAATTATTCTAATTATTTAATCTGTAAATTTTCCAGACATTTTTTTCTCCTTTTTCTCTTCTTTCATTTACTTCTCTGTTTATTAGTATATGCACTGATGAGAATTCACCTTAGAAGCATTAGATTCTTGTTAAAAACTCCAATAAAGACTTTTTTGTTTGTTTCTGTTACATTGGTTTTATTTTTTTCATTGAAATTCTTTATTGTTTAAAGTATTGCATATGTCTCCTTTTTCTCCCATTGACCTCTCCCCACTTACTCCCCCCGCCCAGCACATGCTCTCACCCCCATACTGTCTGTGTCCATGGGTTATGCTCATATGCATTCATATAAGCCCTTTGGTTGATCTCTTACCACCCACCCCTGCCTTCCCTCTGAGGTTTGATGGTTTGTTCTATGCTTCTATGTCTCTGGATCTGTTTCTGTTCATCAGTTTATGTTGTTCATTATATTCCACAAATGAGTGAGATCATGTGATATTTATCTTTCTCCAACTGGTTATTTCACTTAGCATAATGTTCTCCAGGTCCATCCATGCCGTTGCAAATGGTAAAAGTTCCTTTTTTTACAGCAGCATAGTATTCCATTGTGTAGATGTATCACAGTTTTTGAATCCACTCATCTGCTGATGGGCACTTAGGCTGTTTCCAAATCTTAGCTATTGTAAATTGTGCTGCTATGAATGTAGGGGTGCATATATCTTTTCTGATTGGTGTTTCTGATCTCATGGGATTTCTAGAATGGGATTACTGGGTCAAATTGAAGTTCCATTTTTAATTTTTGAGGAAGCTACATACTGTTTTCCATAGTGGCTACACCAGTCTGCATTCCCACTAGCAGTGCACGAGGGTTCATTTTTGTCCACATCCTCACCAGCACTTCTCATTTGTTGATTTGTTGATGATAGCCATTCTGACAGGTGTGAGATGGTACCTCATTGTTGTTATCATTTGCTCCTCTCAGAGGATTAGTGACTTTGAGCATTTTTTTTCATGTCTCTGGGCCGTCTGTATTTCCACTTTCGAAAAGTGTCTATTTAGGTCCTTTGCCCATTTTTTGAGTGGATTGTTTATCTTCCTTTTGTTAAGTTGTATGAGTTACCTATAAATTGTGGAGATTAAACCCTAATCGGATGTAATATTGGCAAATATGTTCTCCTATGCAGTGGGCTTTCTTGTTGTTTTGTTGATGGTTTCTTTTGCTGTGCAGAAGCCTTTTATTTTGATGTAGTCCCATTTGTTTATTTTCTCCTTAGTTTCCATTGTCCTAGGAGCTGTGTCGGTAAAGATATTGCTACAACATATGTCTGCTATTTTGCTGCTTATGGATTCTTCTAACATTTTTATGGTTTCCCATCTTATGTTTAAGTCCTTTGTCCATTTGAGTTTATTTTTGTGTATGGTGTAAGTTGGTGGTCTAGTTTCATTTATTTTTCATGTATCTGTCAAATTTTCCCAACACCATTTATTGAAGAGACTGTCTTGACTCTATTGTATGCTCTTGCCTCATTTGTCAAATATTAGTTGAGTGTAACAGTTTGGGTCATTTTCTGGGTTCTCTGTTTTGTTCTATTGGTCTATATGTCTGTTCTTGTGTCAGTACCGAGCAGTTTTGAGAACCGTGGTTTTGTAATATAGCTAGATATCTGGTATTGTGATTCTTTCAACTTTGTTCTTTCTCATAAAGACTTTTAAAAACATAACTTCAACATCAAAGCAATCATTCCTTAATTGGAGCTGACAGAGGGTGGGAAGGCAGCTAAAGGAACAGTATCTCTATCTCTATCTCTATCTCTTTTGATATAACGGACATAATTTGTTCATTTGGAAAAATCTGAATGAAGTCTGTATATTAGATAATTGTTTTGTAGCAATGTTAACTTTGTGGATTATGAAAATTGTATTACAGTGATATAAGTTGTTGTTCTCATTCCTCGGAATATACACTGAGGTATTTAGGAGTAAAGGGATATTGTGTTTGCAATTGATCATCAGGTGAGAAAGAGATAGTAAAATGGAATATCTTGATGAAGAATATATGGAAAAATGTTTTTTATACTACTCTTGCAACTTTCCTGTAAGTCAGAAATTATTTAAAATAAAACAAAATTTAAAGATTTTAAATTTATTTTAGAGAGAGAGAGAAGCATCAACGTGAGAGCAAAACTTCAATTGGCTGCCTCCTGCATGCCCCATACTGGGGATCAACCCTGAAACCCAGGCATGTGTCCTGACCAAGAATCAAACCAGCAACGCTTTGGTGCACAGGATGACGCCCATCCAACTGAGTTAGACAGGCCAGGACAACTAATTAAAAAAATATCCATACTTAGCACTTTCAACTTTTTCTGAGGACAAAAGGAAATGGAGGGCTTTGTGTTTTACAATGATATCTCATTCTGCAGTGTAATGAATGGTTCAATCTGGTGTGGACTCATCACCAGTTCAGAGGCTCTTGTAATAATCCAGGTGAGTGATGATGGTGGCCTCAAATAAAGGATGGCAATGGAGGAGAGAAGCAGATAGAGAAATGAGATACCTAGAAAGTAAAAATCAGAGGACATGATGGGATGTTATAGAAGTTATAGAGAGGGATGAGTCAGGGGTGACCTTTGGGTTTTTCCTTAAGTGATTGAGTAGATGTGTATTGAATTTGTGAGATAAGCACCAGAGGCAAAGGAGCGCATTTTAGTGGCAAGGATGATTTTAGTTTTAGACCTTACCAGCAAACTAGCTCTAACTATAGTCTTCCCCATTTAAACTAATAGTAATGCCTTCCTTCCAATTGCTCAGGTCCAAAACTTTGGAGATACATTTGCTCACATCTGACATCCCATTTACTAGGAAACCTTGTTGGCCCTGTCTTCACAAAATACCAAACATCTCACCACTTCTCACCACCTCCACTGATACTGTGCTCGCTCAAGCCACTGTCTGGATTATTTCACAGCTTCTTAACAGGTCTCCTGCATCTACATTTTCTCTATACAGTAACCAGTTGGATGTTCTTCAAACACAGGTAATGCCACCCCTCTGATCTAAACTCTCCAATGACTTCAAATATCTCTCAGTATAAAAGTCAATGTCCTTCCAAAGGCCTTTAAGATTCTGCATGGAATGACTTATAGTACTGCTTTGATCACATCTCACACTCCCTTATTCACTCTGTTCCAGCCACAGCAACCACTTTGATTCTCCTTAAACTTGCAAGACACACTCCAGCTTTGCTCTTGTCCTCTCTTCTGGAATGCTCTTTCTCCAGCTAGCAATATAACAGAAAACTCTGAAATGACAAGGACTTAAACAAGGTAGAACTATTTCTCTATATAGTATAAAGAAAATATAAAAATAAGGTGTCAAAGGAAGCTATTGTGACCCCACAGTGTGACATTAAGCCCCAGGCTCAGACATTTTTGCTTCTATAGCTTCAGCATCCTTTCTTAAGGCTACTTCATGACACAAGGTGCATACTGGAGTCCCAGATATCATGTTCATATTTTACACTGCCACCAGGAGGGTAGGCAGAAAGAAACTCCCAATTGAGCCAGTTCCATCATAAGAAGCAATCTCAGCCCTTCCACAAATAAATCTGTGTATAGCTCTTTGGTTACATCTTACTCACAACTTACCTTTAAAAGCCTTTTGAAGGACTGTGGATTTCAGGTTGAAAGATCATATTTAGGTGCTAGGAAGGCTGGAAATGCAGTTGTTTATTTCAGGTGTTAACATGCTCAGCTAAAAATTAGAGTTCTGTTACTAAGGAGAAAGGGGTGAATGGATATTGGCGAAGGGAGATAGCAGGTTTTGCTGCAGATATCTTATTTCTAATGTTGATGACTTCACCATTACCTTGTCCTCTGCCAGCACAGCCACAGGGCCTGTTGCCACATTACCCATCTTCACTGTGGGGGGTGGGCAGTGGAGAGCCAGGCTTTTAAGCCATATTGGTGAAGTGGTAAGAAGGAAGGACAGGCTAGGAGAAAGGGTGTGGTAGCCCTGGACATCTAGGAAAGGGGAGCTTTTGGTTTTGATGAATCTATGACTAAACTAAAGTTTGAGTCTTACTGTTCATTTTTATCCTTGTTTTTCTTTCCTCTGTAATCATTTGCACTCAGAGTTGTCTCTATGTGATTTGGCATGAGATGTAGGTGTTCTGCTGGGCCTGGGTGTGAAATGTGTCCATGTTCAGAGTTTCTCATATTTCCCATTCCTTTTTCATTTTCATTTCCGTATAGGGCATTGGTAAGGCTTTTTAGCCACATGTGATATTATCAAGTACAACTTGAACAAAGAGATGCAAGTATGTGTGAAGCTTTGCTGCAGAGATAGATAGGACTTAAGTTACAATAATATATTTTCTGAGGTGTAAACTTCTTTGTGAAAAGAATATGTATATAAATTTATCTGTTTTAATAAACTAGCTGAATTGAGGGGTTGCTAGAATTAAAAATAATTAAATACCAGGAGATTATTTCCTAAGATTTGACAATTTTAGAAATAATTTTTAAAAACAAGTTAGACAAAATATACATATTATAATATACTAGAGGCCCGGTGCAAAAAATTTGTGCACTGGGGGAGGGGTGTCCCTCAGCCCAGCCTGCACCCTCTCCAATCGGGCCTAAACAGGCAGTTGGACATCCCTCTCATAATCCAGGACTGCTGGCTCTGAACCGCTCACTGCCTGCCTGCCTGCCTGATTGCCCCTAACTGCTTCTGCCGGCCAACCTGATCACCCCCTAACCACTCCTCTGCCAACCTGATCAAAGCCTAACTGCTCCCCTGCTGGCCCGATCACCCCCAACTGCCCTCCCCTGCTAACCAGATCGCCCCCAACTGCCTTCCTCTGCTGGCCCAATCGCCCCCAACTGCCCTCCCCTGCTGGCTCAGTCACCCCCAACTACCCTCCCCTGCCAGCCTTGTCACCCCTAACTGCCCTCCCCTGCAGGCCTGGTCACCCCTAACTGCTCTCCCCTGACAGCCTGTCACTCCTAACTGTCCTCCCCTTCAGGCTTGGTCCCCCCCGCCCCAACTGCCCTCCTCTGCCGGCCTTGTCACCCCCAACTGCCCTCCCCTGCTGGTCTGGTCACCCATAACTGCTTTCCAATGCTGGCCATCTTGCGCTGGCCATCTTGTGACCACATGGGGGCTGCCATCTTTGACCACATGAGGGTGGCCATCTTTGTGTGAGGATGTGATGGTCAATTTGCATATCACTTCTTTATTATATAGGATTCCATAGAAAATGTCTTTAGGAATACCCATTATTCTCCAGTTACTAGTTATCTCTGCATGAGTGACAGGAGGAATTTTATTTTCTATTATCTCTTTTTATGATTGGTTTGTATACTTTTTTATTGTGCATAAACCCCCACCCTCAAACCCAAGGCAAGAAAAATAGCCCAGGAGTGATGCAGATTACTCAATGAGGAGGTAGTTAACATGTGATCTTCCCATGTGACACAAGTGATATAATCTATGGCACTGCAGTGGTGGCACATGGTTGGAGGTGGGGGCAGCTCCTACTTATGCCAACTTCTAAGTTACTAAGAAACTGCTCTAACCACACAAATGAAAGTTCCTTTTGGGAGGTATGTTGTGGTTGGGTAGTTTCCCTTCTGTTGTAAGGATAATGTCTAAGCAGGAGGTCCCTGGGTTTGCTCTGTTCAGAAACTCAGGGTATAGTAATCAGACAATAGCCAACACAAGTGATTTATTCTAAAATCTCCAACTCATATCAAGATTTACCATGTTGTATAGTGCCAGGTGAGTACTGGAAATATTACAGAGATCACTTTTTAAAATATAAGATTGTCTAACCACTATGTGTACACCTGAAACTTATATAAAATAATATTGATTATAAAATGTAATTGAAAAATAAAATTTTAAAAAAGGAAAAAGATTTACCATGCAAATACCTATCTATTCTGGGGAATGTTGGAGAAAGGATAAGGATCTTTTAGGTATAAAACCCTGGGAAATGCAGATTGTTCCAAACTTTTAAGCCAATAGTGGTATGGATACTTGGAAAAACATTTAAATGTATGTTCCATATTCAGCAAAGGGGAAGGTAGGTATGGGGGCTGAACAGTGGAGGAATGGAACCAAAAAAGATGAGATAGTATGACCAACATGGAAGGCAGCTCTGATGGTGACAAGGAAAGCAAGAGGATCATGGCACAGCTGGGCAGGACAAGCCAATATTTTTCCTCTGGAAAATGCCTCAGAAAGATAGAAATAAATATATTAATATCTGTGTTTTATAATAGCAAATGCATTTCCACCTCAGCAAGCTAATTTTTTTCCAAAGATGTATTTGTAAATCTGTAGAAACAGCTTAATTCTCTAATATAATGCCTGGTAAGAATTCTAGCCTTTTTTCTATAAAGCTCAATTTCTTCCTAATGACTCTTTTCTCATGGAAACACACTATTGCCCAAGATTAGTTACAGAGATCTGATGATGATTATTCCAAAAGAAAAGTGTCTACATTTGTTGATTTAAACCTTTTGCCAAAAGAAACCATTTCTTCTCTTAATTGAGTAAATAATCTTATCTTAAAAGAGTAAGTTCTTATTGTGGTAGAAACTCACTTTTCAAGGCGAGCCTATGATTCTATGTACTCATGGTGTCCATGGCATCATAGCATCACTGTTAAAATATAACAGTGGGTAATTTTTATTCTTAACCCAGGTGATAATGTTACCATTATATCAATTTCAGGACAATTTATTTATTTTGGTCATTTAAACAAAATAACTATCTCTACTCATTATGAACATCATGGTTTTCAAAATATGGTTCATTCGCATATGCTTGCAGCTATTATTTTTGGATTTTGTTAAACTTGAAAGGACAGCATCTTTTGTTTTTAAATCATATATATTGAAATGTGGAACATAAGCCACTGTGATATTCAATATGATATTTTAATCACCTAAGTCAAAGGAAACAACGTTCCATTTTCATGGCAAATATAATTTGCAGATGACCTTACTGTTCATTTGCATTTGTCCTTAGGGCGAATTAGGTGTCTTACGGAAGTCTTCACATCAAGAGAGTTACTGAGGCTCATACTAGTAGTTCAGAAGTGTCCCTTCCAATAGGTTTCTGCCTAGTTGAAAAGCAGATGATTTTCTGACCTGAAAACAATCATCTGAATAAGGATAACTCACTGAGGGATATTGTGTGGGAAGAGAAGTGTCAAGTACTAAAAGCCCAGATATAAAAAGAGTAATGTGTTGCATGAATTTGTTGCTAAAATGGTAATCCTGATTATATAAAAAGGAAACACCCAAGAGATGACCTTAATTGTTCCTTAAAAACAGCAGTGGTGTACTCTGCTGAAAGCTTGCTCTGACAACAGTTGAACCCCTCAGCTTCTCATGATGGTTTCAGATTAAGGTGGCATGTATTCCCTTTAAAGTTAACACCATTTATACATACCTTCTTCCCAAAGCAATTCCTTTCCATTTAAATAACCCAGGCTGCCTTCAAGAAGTCTCTCATGAGAATTAACTTGTATATGATACTTAACTACTTAGTAAACCTTAAAGTGTCAAACGAATGCTTATTCTTATACCAGGGGGGCATAAATCTACCTGAAAATAGAGTTGTAAAGGCAATGCAAAATTTTCATCAGATTGTGATTTACAAAATTAATTAAGACATTTTATGTTATAATTCTTGTAAGGTGAACGTAACTCTATATAAGAAAATAATTTAACAAATGCCTCTAATCTAATGCTCCCCCTCTCCAGGATTACTTTGAAGTGAGTTAAAACACTCTGATAAAAAGGTTACTTATACAAATGCATGTCTATTATTTTTTAAATATATTTTATTTATGTGTGTATTGAATACCAGACAATGTAATTCATAAAAGGTTAGAGATGAAATGAACCCTAGGGATCATCTGGTATATTTTTCATTAACTAGTCTTTGACAGAGGCAAAACTAGAATTTAGGTCTTTCAACTTCTAGTCTTTGTTCCTTTCATTACACCGAGTTCTTTATTGCCCTCATTTAAATTATTTTTTGAGAAAATTAATAACTTCACCAATGCTCTTCAAAATTTTATTTTTAGATATGAATTTCTAAAATTTTAAGTATGTTACTAGCTTCTATGGGAAAGATTATTTGATAATGTATATTATAAATAATTTTTAAATCTAAGAAATAGCTTTCTCTACCTCAAACATGGGTTAGGAATGCTGATTAGCAAAATAAGTCTTTATTTTCAACCTTGAAAAGATTTCATTTCTCTTTCATGAATTCTGTAAACTTTTTCGTCTTTGATAGTCAC